AGCATAGTATGGCATAAGAATGTCATAGTATAATATGTCATTAAAACTTCAAAAAACGCTATAGTATAGTATGTCATAAAAATGTCAAAAAACGTCATAGTATAGTATGTCGTAAAATCAGCAGAAAACGTCATAGTATAGTATGGCATAAAACGTCAAAAAACGTCATAGTATAGTATGGCATAAAAACGTCATAGTATAGTATGTCGTAAAATCAGCAAAAAACGTCATAGTATAGTATGTCATAAAAAACGTCATAGTATAGTATGTCGTTAAAACGTCAGAAAAACGTCATTGTATAGTATGTCATAAAAACGTCATAGTATAGTATGTCGTTAAAACTTCAAAAAAACGCTATAGTATAGTATGTCATAAAAACGTCAAAAAACCTCATAGTATAGTTTGTCATAAAAACGTCATAGTATATTATGTCGTAAAATCAGCAAAAAACGTCATAGTATAGTATGGCATAAAAACGTCAAAAAACGCCATAGTATAATATGTCATAAAAACGTCAAAAAACGTCATAGTATAGTATGTCGTTAAAACTTCAAAAAATGCTAAAGCATAGTATGTCATAGAAATGTCAAAAAACATCATAGTATAGTATGTCATAAAAACGTCAAAAAACGTCATTGTATAGTATGTCATAAAAACATCAAAAAACATCATAGTATAGTATATCATAAAAACATCAAAAAACGTCATAGTATAGTATGTCATAAGAACGTGAAAAGACGTCATAGTATAGTATATCATAAAAACGTCATAGTATAGTATGTTATAAAAACGTCAAAAGACGTCATAGTATAGTATGTCGTAAAAACATCAAAAAACGTCACAGTATAGTATGGCATAAAAACGATTGAGACACAGAAACAATGTGGTAAAAGTTCTTTAATGGCAACTGTTTAATGAGTGAGGGATAGAGTTTTGGGGGAATGTTGGGGGGTGAAGGACCCAGGTTGTTGCAGAAAGATTGTGGAGGTTGAGGAACATGTGAGCAAGGTACCCAGTGCTGGACTACGCCCCTGCTTGGACGAACACACATACACACAAAGACAAGGCGGAGGAGACAGACGGCAAGACCGAGAAGGAAAACAAACACATGAAACAATGGAAAACTGCTGCAGTCAATGAGGGGCTGTGAGAGTGACACATAAAAAGCTATAGTATAACAAGGCATAAAACTGTCATAAAAACATCATAGTATATTAAGGCATGAAAGGCAAGAAAAATGTCAGAATATATTAAGGCATGAACAGTCATACGAATGTCATAGTATAGAAAGACATAAGTCATAATAATGTCATGGTATATTATGTCATAAAAACAGCAAAAAATGAATAGTATAGTATGGCATAAAAATGTCATAGTGTAGTAAGGCGTAAAAACGATTCAGACACAGAAACAACCAGTGTGGTAACAGTTCTTTAATGGCAACTGTTCAATGAGTGAGGGACAGAGTTTTGGGGGAATGTTGGGGGGCGAAGGACCCGGGTTGTTGCAGAAGGAGCGTGGAGGTTGATGAACAGGTGAGCAAGGTACCCAGTGCTGGACTACGCCCCTGCTTCGACGCACAGACAAGGCATAGGAGACAGAGCGTAAGCTTGAGAAGGAAAACAAACACAGGAAACATTCATTGTACAGTAAGGTATAAAACGTCATAAAAACATCATAGTATAATATGGCATAAAAACGTATATGAAAGGTAAGAAAAACGTCAGAGTATATAAAGGCATGAACAGTCAAAAGAATGTCATAGTATAGTAAGGCATAAAAACGTAATAGTATATTAAGGCATAAAAACGTCAAAAATGTCAAAGTATAGTATAAAATCATCATAGTAAAGTAAGGCATGAAAACGTCATAATATAGTATGTCATAAAAACGTAAAAAAAACGTCATAGTATAGTATGGCATGAAAACAGCAAAAAACCTCATAGTAAAGTAAGGCATAAAAACGTCATAGCTTAGTATGTCATAAAAAATTTCAAAAAACGTCATTTTATAGTATGGCATAAAAATAGCAAAAAACATCATAGTATAGTAAGGCGTAAAAATGATTCAGACACAGAAACAACCAGTGTGGTAACACTTCTTTAATGGCAACTGTTCAATGAGTATGCTGGACTACGCCCCTGCTTCGACGCATACACAAGGCGGAACATTGGAAAACTGCTGCAGTCACAGAGGGACTGTGACAGTGATGCATAAAAAAATCATAGTATAACAAGGCATAAAACTGTCATGGTACAGTAAGGCATATAACGTCATAAAAACATCATAGTATATTAAAGCATGAAAGGTAAGAAAAACGTCAGAGTATATTAGGGCATGAATAGTCATAAGAATGTCATAGTATAGTATGGCATAAAAAGTCATAAGAATGTCATAGTATAGTAAGGCATAAAAACGTCATATTATAGTATGTCATACAAATGGCAAAAAACATCATAGTATAATATGTCATAAAAACGTCAAAAAATATCATAGTATAGTAAGGCATAAAAACATTAAAAAATGTCATAATATATTATGTCATAATAACATCAAAAACATAGTAAATAACGCATAAAAACGTCATAGTATAATATGTCATAACACCATCATGGTAAATAAGGCCATAGTACAGTAGGGCATGAAAATGTCATAAAAATGTCAAAAAACATCATAGTATAGTATGGCATAAAAACCTCAGTATAGTATGGCGTAAAACCGTCATAGTATAGTATGGTGTAAAAACAGCAAAAAAAAAAAATCATAGTACAGTATGGCATGAAAACGTCAAAAAATATCATAGTAAATAAGGAATAAAAACCTCATAGTATAGTAAGGCATAAAAACAGCAAAAAACATCATAGTATAGTATGGTGTAAAAACAGCAAAAACATCATAGTATAGTATGGCATAAAAACCTCACAGTATAGTAAGGCATAAAAATGGCAGTATATAGCATGGCATAAAAACAGCAAAAAACATCATAGTATAATATGGCATAAAAACCTCATAGTATAGTAAGGCATAAAAACAGCAAAAAACATCATAGTATAATATGGCATAAAAACCTCATAGTATAGTAAGGCATAAAAACAGCAAAAAACATCATAGTATAATATGGCATAAAAACCTCATAGTATAGTAAGGCATAAAAACAGCAAAAAACATCATAGTATAATATGGCATAAAAACCTCATAGTATAGTAAGGCATAAAAACAGCAAAAAACATCATAGTATAATATGGCATAAAAACCTCATAGTATAGTATATCATAAAAATGTCAAAAAACCTCTTAGTATACTATGGCATAAAAACAGCAAAAAACATCATAGTATAATATGGCATAAAAACCTCATAGTATAGTATATCATAAAAATGTCAAAAAACCTCTTAGTATACTATGGCATAAAAACAGCAAAAAACATCATAGTATAATATGGCATAAAAACCGCAAAAAACGTAGTATGTCATAAAATAGTATGTAACATCATAGTATAGTATGGCAAAAAAACCTCATAGTATAGCAAGGCATAAAACGTCATAAAAACATCATAGTATATTGAAGCATGAAAGGTAAGAAAAACGTCAGAGTATATTAAGGCGTGAACAGTCATTAGAATGTTATAGTAAAGTAAGGCATGAAAACGTCAAAAATCTTCATAGTATAGTATGGCATGAAAACGTCATAATTTAGTATGTCATTAAAAAGGCCAAAAGACGTCATGGTAAGGCATGAAAACATCACAGTATAAATAAGGAATAAAAAGTCATAGTATGGTAAGGCGTCACGTTCTGGTTAAAATGCTGTTTGGACCCCAGTGCAGATTCAGACACAGAAACAACCAGTAATTAAAGTCTGGTCAGTGAGTGGAGAGCGGGGGTTCTAATTACAAACAGGTGAGCCAGGTACCCAGTGCTGCGTCACTCCCCTGCTAAGAAGCACACATGTAGACAAGGGGGAAGAAACACAGGGGAAGACAGACAGGGAAAATAAACACAGGAAACACTGGGAAACTCCTGCAGTCACAGAGAGGCTGTGACAGTGAGGCGTAAAAAGTCATAGTATAGTATTATTATTATTATATATTTTATTATAGCATTATAGTCACCAAATAACCTAATGTGCATGTCTTTGGACTGTGGGAGGAAGCCAGAGTACTCAGAGTGAACTTGGAGCAAGCATAGGGAGAACATGCAGATTCCACACAAAAAGGCCCTAGGTCCAGGGTTCGAACCTTCTCACTGTGAGGCGACTGTTCTAACCACTTCACTACTGTGCCGTCCCATAAATAAAATCATGGTATAGTAAGGCATAAAGTCATAGTATAGTAAGGCATAATAAAATCATAGTATTCATGGCAACATTCTCATGGGATTTTTCGGGAGTAATTAAACTCTTTAAATTACTTTGATATATCCACCACTTTATGTTTGCTCCTGCTAGCAACATGACCGCTAGCCTACAAAAGGCAGACGGCAGGGTTATCTTGCTAGTTAACGCTAGCTAACATGGTTAAAACATCAGTTGACATTAGCTACCACTGTGATATTCTCGCACGACGTAAGCCCCCTTTCAGCCAATCAAGACTTAGCAAGCCTAAATCGGTTGCCTGGGAGACGCAGCCTCTTGGAGGGCACATTGGAATGATCTAATATGACTTCACTCTAAACATAGTGCGAACGAGTTCACTCAAATATTGGCAGGGACAATTCTGTCCTCTCAAAGTATTGGTAGGGACATGTCCCCACCGTCCATATGCAAACCTACAACTTTGAATTTGATGTGGTGAATTTCAAAAATATATTATTTTTTGTTACCCGTTTGTTTTTAAATTGGAAATTTTAACAAACAATCAGACATATCAGTTCTTAAATAAAAGAACAAATACAATTTCAATGAAGGGACACCTCATCACCCTCCTCCTCCTCCTCTTCCAGCGGGTCTCGCGGAGACGTGGCAGCTGGCTGACGGGATGAACTGTGACCCGGAAGTATTTTTCATCGGCACCAAACAAGAAGATGATCAGTTAGCCACTCTGTGAGCTGCTAACCTAGTCGGGAAGTTGCAATATTATGTTTGACAGCTGAATCTTGAAGAAACGATGCGGGTTATCGGCTGTTTGCAGGTGAAGGTTAACGTGTCAGGGTTCTTCATTGTTAAGATTTGAGAGCCGGAAAATTACCGAAGCTAGTTAGCTTAGCTTCGCTAACGGTATCGAGGCCAGAGGCTGTATCGTCTCTGTTTAGTTAACGTGGATGTTCGGCAGGAGGCTGAACTAAACTAACAACGGTCGTTAACTAACGGCCACTGTACGGGGCATGCTGTTTAACTCGACGAGCACGAATAAGAGTCCGTGTTAAAAGTGTAGGTGTATTTTAGCAGGAGATTAGCCGAAGAGAAAAGTGCAGCCATGGACGATTTTAGCTCGATCAGCCTGCTCTCTCTTGCGATGCTGGTGGGATGTTATGTGGCCGGGACAATTCCTTTAGCAGTCAACTTTTCAGAGGTGAGTTTCTAACACGCAAGTGCTTCCTGAAAGCTTGCACTGCTAAGCTAACTTTCTCAACAGTCACATTCCCAAAGTGATGGTTCACCCGTCAGTGCCTTTTAATCAGAGGTATTGATTGCATCATGAACTGTGTAATGTTATCAGGCGACGACTTGTGTTTTATAAGACAAAACAAACAATCAATGAGACCGTCTTATGCTGGAGATTTGTTTCTCCTTGTTTCTCCAGGAGAGGCTGAAGCTGATCACTGTGCTGGGAGCCGGGCTGCTCTGTGGGACCGCACTTGCTGTTATCATTCCTGAAGGGGTCCACGCACTGTATGAGGAAATCCTTGAAGGTAGACTTCAGCCAGGTGGATCTCCGAGTGTATTTCTATCATAACTAAAGCCACAGTGACACTGAAGGGTGATCTTGAACACAGCTCTTAGTGTCAGCTCGTTTGATTATTCTACAAGTTACCTGGAAAAGTTTGTAGTTATTGTCCTGTGTTTAAAATAATTTGACGATGGGTGTCCTATTGGCCTCAGGGTGAAGACAGAGACCATTTAATTGAAATGTTCTGTATGTGACCGGATGCTCTTTGTCAGGAGTGCCACAGGCCAGAAAGACACTGGCAGAAAACTAAGAGTAGAGCCTATGCACACACTGAGCGATTAATTAGGAACACCTGTGCACCTGCTTTTTTACGCAATCAGCCCATCGTGTTGCAGCAGGTGCAATGCATAAGATCATGCGGATACAGGTCATGAAAGTGAGGCTGACAAACCTGAAGAATGTGATGCAATCATGTCAACATGGACATGGTCAAGCCAAGCAAAGGGAGACTAATACCCAGTACTAGTAATAAAAATGCTCTCTTAGTGTAGACATAAATACTTGCCTGTGTACAGTTTGAATCGTGTTCAAACAGAGCAAAGTTCTGTGAGAGGTAAAGTACAACCAGCTGACGTTATGTAACACACTGTGTACAACACATGAGGAATGCTACATGGGTTTGTGACGGTCTCTCTGCTCAGCAGCGTCACTCTGTTCTCGATACATTAAGCTAACTGTGTTGTTGAACAGTCCATCCGCCTCTGTCTGTTCTTCCCTGACCTGTGTGTGTGTGTGTGTGTGTGTGTGTGTGCGTGCGTGCGTGCAGGTGGACACCACAGTCACGGCCAGGTTGGAGTTGTGGAGGTGTCTGAGACGAAGGCTGAAGCAGAAGTGGCCCTCGGTGCCGGTGGGAAACATGAACACAGCCATGAGCAGCTTCACGCCTGCATCGGAGTGTCTCTGGTCCTGGGCTTCGTCTTCATGCTGCTGGTGGACCAGATAGGAAGTTCTCATGTGCACAACACTGAAGGTCCGTGTTACAAGATGAAAGCATCCACAGGACTCACTTCTTTAAAATTCACAGTACGCAGGTCTGGAATGAGCTCTGGGAAAACGTGGCTTGGTGACAGCAGCTCTGTCAATAATATTCTCCAGAAGACAATCATTTTGTTGAATTACACCCAAACCACCCACACACCCTGCACAGTCAGCACAGAACCAGTCCAGAGCTTTTGTTTGAGCAGCTAATGTGTGCCAACATGCGACACCACACGATTCTTATCCAGATTCAGATTCAATCTATAATTATTGCTTTGTTCTGCTTTTATATATTTGTTAAACATATAAAAATGGTCATTGCAAATATTTTCAGACAGTTTTTTTGTGTCTGGTTTAGATCCAGAGTCAGCGAGAGTCACCTCTTCAAAAATCACCACCACCCTGGGTCTGGTGGTCCACGCTGCAGGTAGGTCTCAGGTCTCCTGATGGTACAAGATCTTATCAGTGTAAATGTCAACACTGGTGCTGTGATAGAGGCCACGTCCACACTGCTGCGTTTTCCTTTTAAAACGCATCTATTTTGAAATGAAAACAAAATGCAAATGTGATCAGACAACTCAGATATTCACTGACTTTATTATAATCAATACTTTGTAAATGCTGTTCTCATGAACTTCCTCTTTGTCTCAGCTGATGGAGTGGCGCTCGGAGCTGCTGCCTCTACCTCTCAGACCAGCGTCCAGCTCATTGTCTTTGTAGCCATCATGCTGCACAAGGTAATAATGTGGATGTGTATGTACAAATTAATGCACGTGAGAATTAGCTGAGTTTAAAAAAGCCATTTAGGAATTTGTGATGGGCACTTTTCATTGTTTTACAGACCAAATGATTAAGTGATAAAATAATCTGCCGATCATTCAATAAGCAGCAGTGCATTATGGATGTGAATCTATGTGAACCTTGTCGTCTGCAGGCCCCAGCAGCGTTTGGCCTGGTCTCTTTCCTGATGCATGCTGGTCTTGAGAGGAACCGCATCCGCAAACATCTCCTGGTCTTCGCCCTGGCAGCACCCGTCCTCGCCATGCTCACATTTTTAGGCCTCAGTCAGGTAAATAATTCAATCTATGAAATATCAGTTATCAAATTTATTTCTCTTTATTTCTCTCTCCTCTCCTAGAGGATTATTTCTTGTCGGTCACGTATCTTAAATTTTACTACAGCCTGAGCTCGAGCAGCTGTCATCTTCTTACACTGTATTACACAAATGTGAGTCAGGGCTTTGTCTTGGAACACCAGTGTGGATGGTAAGACTTCAGACAAGACATGTTTGAGATAAGATTAAATTTCATTAGCAATAAGAAATTAAATAACCGTGATACAATAAATGGATTTCATCAGTATGTGATCCAGCTGAGAGGAAATGTTTCTTCTCCCCTCAGAGCAGCAAAGAGGCCCTGTCAGACATCAACGCCACGGGTGTCGCCATGCTCTTCTCCGCCGGCACCTTCCTCTACGTGGCCACCGTCCACGTCCTCCCTGAGGTGGGCGGCGGCGGCCACAGCCACGCTCCGGCGGGAGGGAACGGAGGGAAAGGACTGAGCAAGGTGGAAGTGGGAGCGCTGGTGCTGGGCTGCCTCATTCCTCTGGTGCTGTCAGTCGGTCACCACCATTAGACCCCGCGGCTCAGGACGGAGTGAAGACGGGTGTACAGGGGAAAGAAGCAGAAACAGAGACTTCAAACATTGTGGATTTAAATGTCTTATTGCTTGTCTGCTGATGGACCTCGCGGACCAGACTGGTGCTCGTTGCGGGGACATCTCATGACTCAAAACTGAATATGAAACAGGGAACGAATGATGTTAGGGAAATCAGAGTTGTTGCGGTGACGACCAAGGCACACGACAATGTTTTTTTTTTTTTTCTTTTTTCCTCTTCCTCCTGACACTGATGACGAAACATGGTACAGCTACTGTATGTGTCCATTTCTGCCACCAGATATATTGATCTTCTTCTGCGAGGCCAGAGGACAGTCAGCTCAGCTAATCTAGATCACTGTGGAGCTTTCAGTGTTGCATTATTGTGCTTGTCCAAAAGTCAAAGAACCAACCCTGATTTCATGACAGTGACGTTTTGCTAGACGGCAGTTGCACAGTGAGATTTAGATAGTCTTGATCAAACTTGTGATATCGAGAAAGTAAAACCTTTTTTTAATATAATTGTACAGATCTCTTAGCAACAATCCAGACTGATTTGAACTGATTTTCAAGTGCCATATTAGCGAGTTTGGAGCAGAAGGAACTGCGGCGTGAGGACGTTACAGTTTGTAGAAGACGTTCCTTTCTTATTTTTCTTAGCAACACAGATGTTGTTCTCGCAGCCAGCTGTGGAGCAGGAGGAGGGATCAGCCTGAGTAAACCAGCCAGAAGCTCCTGACAGTTTTTGCTTTGGTTGGCGAGTTCGTCAAACATGCGGAGGTTTATCCTGTTAGAAAAATCAGTGGTGACGAGAATCTTGGCCTGATGGGAAGCCGAGTTATGATGGCCACTGATGGTGTGTTTCCTATAAAACCACGCGCTTAGGTTTCTGGTCTCGTCAGTTCAAAGCGGAGCGCTGCGTGAGGACGAGACGCAGCCAGCTTCAACGCATCGCAACAAAATCTGTCACTTTTCTTTGACCTGTTTAGTTTCTGGATGTTTATTTCTGTTCTGTTTTACCTGGAGAGTAATTATAGAGATTACAGGAAAGATGTATAGAAGTGTCTTCAGTGACTCTGACTATAGAGCGTTACTAAGCTTCTTTAGAGGTGGAGGGTCATTTCAGCAGCTCTGAATGAATGAGTGACTCGTCCTCTGGAGGTCGTGACCTGGATGAACTCGTGTAGGGACCATCGGCTCAGGAGGACAGACATCTTACAGGTTTTGTGAGAATTTTGAACAAACCTATTTTTTTAGTTAGTTTGCTCCTCAATAATTAATTATACCTGAGCAATAATTGTAAGAAAATGAAAAAAAAAAAAAGGGGCGAACTCGGGAGTGCAGCTGAGTGAAATGGCTACAGAGGGTTCGCCTTCATCTTCAAAGCACTCGTTATGTGATTCACATATCAAGGTCTGTCAGATAGATGCTCTTGAACGCAGCCTTGCCCCGACGTCTCCGTCTCTGCTCCATTAGAACGTGAAGCGGTTGATGCATTAAAATCTTAAGTAGGCTGCTCCCTCTTCTATCAGGACACATGGATATTGTGAGTGTTTCTGTATCACTGTGCCTGCTCACAGCAGAGCTCATGTGTATGTATATGTATGTTGTACAGAGAAACTTCTTCCACAGTCGCCACAGGTGGAACTGCTTACTCACAAATACATTTTTATTTTTTAACTTGAGTTTGTTTGGACATGGACGGACTGGTGTTTTCAGCACAGACACGAGGCTGCAGACGGTCTGACGAGTCTCTGTTTTATGTCTAAATTTAATGGTTTTACGCTCAACCTCTCAGTTAATTCCAACTTCTATGATGAGAAGAAACTCCTGTGATGTTTTAACGAGATACAGCGGCGGGTCGCACGCAGACCAGCAGCTGCATGACTGTTTCATTTGTTGCGGGACGCTGTGTATGTAATACAAAAGGGAAAAACGCACCACTGTGTTGCTCTACGCCCGGGTGTGTTGGCGGACGGCCCCATTATGTGCAATTTCATCTTTCTTAACAACGTTACGTCAGAGTCCCTGCTGAGATCTGGTTTTCCATCCTTACGAAAAACCATATGGATGAATTCAGGGTTTATGTGAATATGATTAGTGATTAGCATAATTGTTGCTGATTAATTTCCTGTCCCTTGGTCAGGCTTTGAAGCCCCTGAACTGTTTTTCTCAGATTAAATACTCATGACTAAATAAGCAGCAAAGTTAAAGTTGAAGAAAAAAACACCAGCTCTTATTCATTAATATTGAAACACTCAGCTCATCTGCTTCATCAGGACCGTGTGGGAGCCCATTGATCAGATCTGACTGACGGCGCCGAGACAAAAACACAAAGTTCAGAGCCTTTACAATTCATTCATGTTGGTCACGTTTCTTCTTCTGGTGGAGGGGGGGGGGGTTAAGACTCACTAACTAAATAAAACCCGCTGGATTATCTGGAGAAGGTGAAGCAGGACTGTTTTCCTTCAATTCATGTTTTGGAGATACATGGTTTTCACAGGACAGGGACGGGGTTCGTAGAGTTTATAATGTTTCAGTCTGGTTTACTGACACAGTTAAAGGTGTTTTATCCTCACTTCCTGGACAGTCAGAATACTGGATTTTGATTGGCCAACAGCACCAGCCCCTCATGTTAAAGTGATGTAAACCGGCTCAGAGACTTTACGATGTGGGTAAAATACTTTACTCAGAAGGTGAAGTGTCACCGGGACAAACAGGAAGTGATGACGGCACATACTGGGGCCGTTCGGAGGTTTCACTCTGGATCAGTTACACGATCAGGTTCATATTTGTAATCCTTTCAGTCGGGGTGGGTGTGTCTTTATTTTGTTTTTATTTTCTGTCATTCCAGAATGAGTCTTGCCTTATTTCCATATTTTTGATTGTGAAAATCGGTTGTAAAGCAATGTGTTTTATGACGACTAAATTAAAGTTTTTTTAACTGGTGAAAATCCTGCGTCGTATCTTGATTTCATTCAATTCAATTCATTTTTATTTAAATCGCACCAAATCATAATATACATTATAATAATAATGATAATGAGTGTTGTGGTGGCAGATCTGAATCCTGCTGCTCCAAAAACAGACAGAGAGAGAGAGAGAGAGAGAGAGAGAGAGCTCAGTGTACCTGTGAATGAAGTATTTGTGTTAACGTTACTTTTTGTCACATTATTTAAACAGAGATTTTCTCTTGAATTAAATGTTTAAAATGTTCTTTTTCGACCCTGATGTCTCACTAACGCAAACGCAGGCTGAGCTGTCAATATCTTTATAATCTGCGGTCTGTCCACTCTGACACATGTTCTGTAAATTAATCTGATACTCACGATGCTAAAGCTGCATGTCAACCGCTCTGACTCTCCATCCTCTTTACTAGAGAGTTGTGCAGCCACGCCTCCGCCACAGATGTTCTCCTAAGTCACTGCCGATGGACTGATGGATGGATGGATGGATGGACCGACCGACCAGAGAGTCCATACCTGCCAAGAGCTGGACACTGGTGCTTCCTGTGAGTACAGTAATCTGAATAACAGCTTTTACTGGCTGGAATGTATTGACTTCAGATTTAGAAACTCAGTCCTAAAGCTTCCCTCCCTCCCTCCCTCCCTCCCTCCCCCATCACCTCCCAGTATCCTCCCTCCCTCCCTCCCTCCCTCTTTCTCTCTGTCATCCCTGATTTCATCTGGGTGCACTCTGCAGTCAGTCTGCCTCCATCAGATGAGCGTATTGGCAGCTGCATCATTCCACCCTGCTGAGTTATTGGGATTTGTTTGCTACTTTTCCTGTTTTGTATTGAAGCTGTCCCCACAGCTGTACATGCATCCATACGAGTGTGTGTGCGTTATCGAGTTTTATTGGACTAATTGTTATTGATCGACTGCGTTGTGGGTTATTTTTTTTAACTCTATTGATAGTTTTTTTCTTTTTCTTTTTTTGGCACCACCTCCCTGTGCGAGTGAAGCCAGAGAGGATGTTCTCGTCTTCATCCAGAAACTCTCTGTTCTCGCCCTGGACGTCCATGGAGCAGTCGGACGCTGAAGTGCTGGACATCAGCACCAAGGTGCAGCTGCACGGCGTGCTGTGGAAGAGGCCCTTCGGACGGCCGTCGGCCAAGTGGTCCCGCAGGTGAGGGCGAGGTGTGACTTCTGTCCTGGGTCATTTTTATCTTATAATTTCATATAGAGCTTCACGTGTTCATTTCAGCTGCTGGGGGTCGATTCTGTCTCCACAGAGTTTATAAAAGAGAATCAGGGTGAGTTTAACAGGAAATCATGTTTTTCTTTAGTTCCTAAAAAGCTGCGTTTTAGAAAGTGTGCAGTCTTTCCTGTTCCTGTCCTTTTCCTCCCAAGAAGTGTCAAAGACTAAAACTAAATGATTCTCTTCTGTAATTTATTTGACAAGATGAAAACGTCTGAAGTGATTTTCCTCATCACAAATTAAAGTTAATCATTTTTTATGGCAGCAGCTTCAGTTCCTGATCGATCGGTTGATAAAACTTGTGTCTGACTGTGTTTCTGATGTTGAATGATGAACATCTGAAAGCAAACTTGTCGTGTATCAGAGGATTGTTTTACATAACGCCAGGACTCCGGTGTCAGTACATCCTGACGGCAGCGTACCGTATATTTGGATGGTAAAGTGCCTGGATTGGCACCTTATGTCATGATAATGCTCTTAGTTTACATAACAGTTAAAACGACAATACACAGCGAGTCCGGTCCAGAGAGTCCATTTGCTGCTGCACACTCTTCCTTCCCACTCGCTCCAGTCATAAAGGCCAAAAGAATTTAGTTTTTGGTGCCAAACTGGAGACGGTAGAACTCCGAGAGTTAGTGTCTGTTGTTGTGGTTGTTGTGGTTGTTGTGGTTGTTGTGGTTGTTGTGGTTGTTGTTGTTGTCACCAGCTGAGAAAAGAGGCAGTTGTTTGATTAAAATCAAATCAAGTCTATTTTGACTTGAGTCAAAACATAATTTAATAAGTGAGATTACAGGTGCACTCCTCATGGAGCACATGACTCAGCCCCCCACCCCCAAACCAAAACTGATATTTGAGTAAATAAAAATCAGCTTTAACATTAGCTAATATGTCTTTTCTGAACATAAATACATAACAAACATTTTTAAATAAATGAGTTTACAGTTATTTGGTTATTTAATATTTATGACGAGGATATGCACCGAGTCAAAAATACATTTGTCTCGGGACAAAAAAGGTTAACCATAGAGTGATGAAGATAAAATAATAAATTACTAAAGCAGAGGAGATGTATTAAAGTGATTAAAACCAGAAGTGAAAGGTAGGATATTATTAGGATAGATTGTTAAGATTATACAGATTTGTTCCTTTCAGCCCCACAGGATTGACTCACTGCTGCTTTATTGTCTTCCTCGGTACAAAGATTCTTCATCATCAAAGACAGCTTCTTGCTCTACTACGCCGAGAGCGAGAAGAGAAACTTTGAGACCAACAGGTTCTTCAACATCCACCCCAAGGTGAGCGGCCGCATCCTCTCTGACGCCTCTGCAACAACATGAAGAAGAAAGCGTGACTGTCGGGAACTTTACACCGATAACTGTGTGTTTCTGTAACTTATGATCCACAAACACGGCAACATCATCACAACAGTATAAATAACTGATGCGTTCCTGTTGTCAGGGAGTCATTCCTTTGGGAGGATGTGTGGTGTCGGCTAATGAAGACATGGGGATGCCCTTTGCCGTCGTGATCAACCTGGAAGATTTCACAGTAAGAGCATCATCTCTTCATCATTAATCCGCATCACTCTGGTTTAATCTGTCATTTAGTGTGCAGCTTTATTTATTTATTTTTTTTAAATGAATTTGCTCGTGTTTTTACTCTTCTAACTGGTTTCTGTTTTTATTTTCATTTACATGTTTCATCATCTTCTGTCTTTCTGTCGTCTCATTTCATTGTCCTTCAATCTGCCCTGATTTCATTGTACTATCTTTTATTGTAAAGCACTTTGAGCTACATCTCTTGTATGAAAAGTGCTCCACAGTAAAGTTTATTATTATTATTATTATTATTACTAATTTTTAAGACAGATGTGGACACAAAGTTGCAGATGAACAACATTAAAAAACAAATCTATGCAAAAAAGGCTTCATATAAACAGAAAGTCACAGCTGAGTGTTGGACAGCTCAGAGCCAAGCTGAAATGTCTCTTTCTAAATTGTACGATTAAAGCTGTAATAATGTGAGGAATCAGTCTAATCCTGCCACAAACAGGACACATAATGGAGAGAATTTAACTGCAGGCTGGGGCACGACCGAATCACAAGCCCTTCTACTTTCCCAGCAGCACAAAGATAGAAATGTACTGTGTGTTCTACAGCCGGAGCCCATTACTGACAATATACTGTGTGTGTCCCAGGGGACTGTGGTCCTGGCTGCTGAGTCTGAGGAGGAGCAGGTGCAGTGGATGGAGATGCTCCAGGAGTCAGGGAAAGTGTGAGTGAAGAATACACAGACGGAACATAGAAAGTTCAGAAATCACACAGAGACTTAAAATGGAAGAGGAGACCAGTTAGGAATCACCTGATTCACTGTACACCTGCTCAGTCTAGTCCTTATTCCACCTGGGAAAAGTTAGACTGTAAGAACTAGTATTAAGATAAGACAGTAACAGCATCGTCTGCTCTGTGGTTCAACTCTTCAAACTTAAGTCTGTTTATTTGTGAGTCTACGTTGACATTGTTCATGCTAGCTGTCAGTGCTAATGTTCTAGCTGTTAGCTGTGAGTTAAGCTAGTTTGTGGCTACAAGAGCCTGTGTTAGTTGTAACAATAGTATNTCCTTATTCCACCTGGGAAAAGTTAGACTGTAAGAACTAGCATTAAGATAAGACAGTAACAGCATCGTCTGCTCTGTGGTCATGATGTTCCACTGACCTGGACAATGAGGTGAATTGTAACATTTCACTCCTTGTGNGTTGACATTGTTCATGCTAGCTGTCAGTGCTAATGTTCTAGCTGTTAGCTGTGAGTTAAGCTAGTTTGTGGCTACAAGAGCCTGTGTTAGTTGTAACAATAGTATAACAGCGCACACACACACACACACACACACACACACACACACACACACACACACACAAACACACAAACACACACACAAATTATGTCAAAAAGCCAATATCAGGTTTTGGTCATGATGTTCCACTGACCTGGACAATGAGGTGAATTGTAACATTTCACTCCTTGTGTCTGAGACATTTTCTGTTTGTGTTGCACAGATACATCAACACTATTTAATAACGGACACATGGAACTAGTTTGAGTTAAAGTTCGAACACACTGGATTAAAAGCTGCAGACAGAAATGTCAAAGATGTGACGACATGTGGCAGCTGATGCAAACTGAACTGTCACGATAACTTTCTGTATAATGCATCACAGTTTCAGTTCACTGGGGAAATTACAGCCTCCACTCATCAGCTACAGCTTTTTAAAATAATGGCAAACAGCTATTGACTCGCTCACTGTTTTAATGTAACTTGACGTCCGTGTTGGACCGACAGCACGTGGAAGAACGCCCAGCTGGGGGAGGCCATGATCGAGAGTCTGGAGGCCCAGGGGCTGCAGCTGGCCAAGGAGAAGCAGGAGTACCTGGGTAAACACGGAGACAGTCACCTGACTAAATGAATGAATGAGCTTTTTAACGAGCTGGAGCAGGTCATGTGAAACGGTTCGGTCATGTGAAATGTTTTTGTCTCCAGATAAACTGATGGAGGAGACGGAGGAGCTCAGTCATCAAAGAGCAGAGAGAGAGGTGAGACGTCTTTACTCTGTCACCTGTTGCTGTTGTTTTGGGATCAGGGAATAAAAAGATTATAACTTGTTCAGATGTTCATGAACTTTAGATGTACTTTATATTTATATGTGGAGCTGCAATGATTATTTTTCTTGAGTTTCTTCACGTCTTCTTTTGTCCGACCAGAAACCCTGATGTTCAGTTTACAGATTTTAAACAGAGAAAAGCAGCAAATAAAAACAGAGGATGTTTGAAAATGATTTAAAATTTCACTTGTTATTATTCGAGTCATTGTTTCAGCTCCATTCGTACGTTTTCACTGGATCTTTTACTTTTTAATATTTAGGTATTAAAATTTAGGCTTGTTTTACACAGGTCATTATTCAGTTATGTTGCTTTTTGTGTGTGTGTGTGTGTGTGTGCGTGTGTGTGTGTGTGTGTGTGTGTGTGTGTAGGAGCTGGAGCGTTTGAACCAGATCCTGGAGGAGGAGAAGATGAAGTTTGAGGAGGTGGTGCTGGAGCTGAAGGCAGAACAGGAGCAAATTAAACTGTAAAAACTCAGAGCTGTCGTCTGTTTGTGTTTCTTTACCCACTGATGACTGTGTACAGGCCTGTGAGGTCATGTGACTTGTCTCCTGTCCTGTGTTGATGGCAGAGACCTGGACGGCACGGCTCAGTCCCTGAAAGGTGTCGAGAGTGAAAAAGAAGAACTGAGCAACTTAACAGTGATGCTGCAGAAATCCATCGAGGTATGAAAAACACTGATTCACCTCCACGTGTCGAGTAACGAGGTTAACTCTGACTCGGATCATGTAACGTTGCAGTAACGTCCTGATTCTCCTCTGAACTTTTCTTCTTGTTAATAAGAAACTTGTATTTCCTTATGAAATTTGGTTTTTACAAATGATGTCATATGTGTAAACGCTGTGCAGTAAAACTATCATTTTAACCCATGAATGTGGATTTTCGGTTGAGGTGTCGTATCTGAGGAACATATGAAAATGTATTGGAGCAAACCCTGATCTGCATCTTGTTCTGACCCTCAGGAGCTGTCGCAGGAGAAGCAGCGAACCCTGGAGCTGCTGGGGGTGAAGGAGCAGGAGGAGGCGGCGGTGGAGGAGAGCGACAGGAAGTCTGCGGACGGAGAGGAGCTGGTAGACGGGGAGCTGCTGCAGGACCTGCGACACATCGAGGACCAAATGAAGATCCTGCTGAACGAGAAGGAGCAGGCTGACGACAAGTGAGAGACTGTTGTACTTAATATTATTCTTCACGTCACGTCATCGGTTACATGGCTGTTTGAAATCCTCTGAAAAACAGCTGGATACTTTCAAAATAAGTCGTCATCAACATTAAAGCAGCTGTTTCCTTTAGTTCCTGAAGAGTTTCTGAATGTTTGAATATACAAACTGCACATTAGCCTTTGTCCTGTTGAAACTCTGAGTAAACAAAACTGCATGTGATCCAGGTCACATGTTTACTGTATGAGACTGAAGTACAACTGCAGCAGAGCTTCAGACAGGCAGAGTCAAACGCTCTGGCCTTTCCAGGGAACTTCTGTGCTAATGGCTCAGAGGTTGTAACTACTGGTGGAAATGTGTATTGATCCCTTAACAGCCAGCCCATTAATCAGCACCAGTAAGTGGAATATTACAGGCAGCTGTTATTGACTGTGTAGCACTAATGTTCCTGCTGCCATCACTGAAATATACGACTAACGTTTCCAGGATCTCCGTCCCTCAGTTTCCTTTAACGTGTTCACAAGAGCAACAACAACAAAATAATCCTGAGGACAGTAACTGAACTGACTCACATGAATCTAATTGAACTGAAAGCAAGAGTTCAACATTTTGGGAAACACACTTATTGGAGAGTAGAAACAACAACGTCACTCTGGTGTCACTCATTAAATGTGAAACCAATCAGCAGCTTGTTAGCTTAGCTTAGCATAAAGACAGGAAACAGGGGGAAACAGCTAGCGAACAACAGCTCTGACCACAGATAACAGAATCCTCCTACCAGCACCTCTAAAGCTCGTTAACATGTTATATTCCATTTTGTTAAATTAATATAAAAGTGTAAAAATGACAAATCACTGTACTGAGAATGTATTTCACACAAATACAAAATGTCAGACGTTATCTACAGAAACATCTTCTGTCACTGTTTTAACCTTGAAATGACATCACATGTGTCAGTGAACACGTCACTGTAATCTTTTGAAAAGGTTTAAAATGGGCCAAAGGAACTGAAACATTAAAATCATCCAAAATTGTAGATGTGTCCTTCCAGAGAATGTGCACGATGTTCTGTGTGTGTGTCGTGTTCCTGTCGTTCAGGCTCAGGGAGAAGGAGCAGCGAGCTAAAGTCCTGCAGCAGGAGAGGGAGTACTACTCGTCTCAGGCCCGGACGCTGCAGCAGTCGCTCTCTCAGCTCACGGTGGACAAGCAGCAGACTGAAGCCGAGCTCAAGGTAACACAGCGTGACTCAGCCGCTCTCAGCTGCGCGTCACACACACACACACACACACACACACACACACCACACACAACACACACACACACACCACACACACACACACACACACCACAACACACACACACACACCACACACACACACACAGACACATACACCACACACACACATACACACACACACACAACAGACAGACAGACAGACAGACACACACACACATAACACACACAGACACACACACACACACACACAGAGACACACACACACCACAGACAGACACACACAGCACAACAGACAGACACCACAGGACACACACACAGACACACACACACAGACACAGACACAGACACACAGACACACACACACACACACACAACACACACACACACACAACACCAACACACACACACACACACACACACACACACACACACCTCGTCAGTTCAGACATCTCCTCGACTCTCATATTAGCTTGTTGCACCTGATCGTGTGGAACTAATTACACCTTTATTACACTATAATATCTGTGACCTCATGTAATCCCCAGCAGAGGTCTAATGAGCCTGACAGCTGAATAAGCCTGTGAGCGCGGAGCTTCTACAGTGACTGAAGGGACTTGGTCACTGTTGTTAAAATGAGTGTGTTTTTAATAACAGGTTTTTACTATGACATATAGGCAAAGCAGATCATAGGTAAATAATAATAGCAGTATTCCTCCTGGATGGAGTCTATGTCCTAAACACAATCCTACCGCTCTTTCTCTTTCTTCCCTCAGGCCTCAGTCAGACTGAATTATTAAGAACAGACAAATAGCTTCAGATATAAACTCCTGTGATGATGAAGAGCCCTCGAGCAAAATACCAAAACCTCCACGGACCGGTTGTATCAGCCCTCTCAAGTTTTTCTCTGAACTGTGTCTCCAGGCGAAAGCAGTAAAAAATGTTCCGTTAGCAGGTTTTTACACGATAATATTAATAATGTTGTTTTTGGACTAAAGCTAACGGCTAGCAATATTTATTCTGTAAAATTAAATTCAACTTTGTCATATTTAAATCCATGTTTTCAGTGTGTTTCCCTGAACATATTGTTCTTTCCAGCCTGGACAAACCTGTAGAGCTGCTTTCAGTTGATCATGTGACAGTAACAAACAGATCTATTATATCGACCCTGTAAGTCATCTTGCAAGCTTTTTTCTTTTTAATCAAACATGAGGTGTGTTTCCTGTGTGTCTCAGGCGGAGATCGAGTCTCGGGTGGAGCTGGAGAAGAGGCTGAAGCAGGCTGAGGAGGCTCTGCAGGACCTGGAGAAAGGCCTGAACTCAATGGAACGAACCAAAGAGAGAGACGAGAAGATGAAGGGGGATGTGACTCACCTGAGGAGTGAGTGCATTCACTGTTGGTTCACTAGGAGAAAGAGTCACATTTTCATCTGCCAGATTATTGTGTGGAGTCTGGTGTAATGTTTGTATCTCCCAGTCAAACACAAACAAACACACACACACACACACACACCCACACACACACACACACACACCCACACACACACACACACACACCCACACACACACACACACACACCCACACACACACACACACACACACACACACAGTACTGTAACAGATGTACAGACAGATGTAAACACACTTAAACACACATATGCAGTGGAGCTTTGTGGCGTATAATCTGATGTGATCTGATGTGTCACCTTTAACTCCTGTGTGACTCGCTGCCTCCCTCTGGATGGAACATGTATTACATGTTTATCTTCACACTCGACTTACTGTACTGTACATCAGTCAGGATCAAGTATATGTGTGTATATGTATATATATATATATATATGTGTGAGGTGTGCGATCATTCATCGTTCCAGGAGAGAAAACACAAAAAGTGATTTCTGAGTTTTATCTTCTGTGATTTAATTCACAAGAAAAAAAACAGTGTAAGAAACGTAACGTCATTAATCATCTCTCATGGTGGTTCACTGGGTCACGTACCGGTGGTTTTGTTACTGACACTTTGGCTCAATGGGACTCGTCACTGAAGAGGAGGCGCAGATGTTACTAATAACAGTAACAACGGTTCAGTTCAGTTCAACTGTCCCAGTAAACCATGACAGTGACACCGGCACCCTGAAGCAGCTAAATGGAATCCAGCCATTGTTCATGTTATTGTTTACACCTGTTTCTCCTACAGTGACGTGTCAACATGTGGTTACGTTTGTGGCTGTTTGGGTTACGTGCAAACAACGAGTACTTTGTATATCTGAAGTGTGTGTGTGTGTGTGTGTGTTTACCCAGAGTTCTTTGAGGAGTGTATCTGTGCAGCAGAGATCGAGGCGAAGCTTCCGGCGATAATGAAGAACGCTGTGTATCTCCACAAAGCTGCTGCTCGCAGAATCAAAAGCTGCCGAATCCAGAGGAGAGCCTCCAGACGCCACTGGTGTAAGTCTGAACATCACACACGTCACGTCATTACTGAGTCCGTCTGTGTTCTGACTGCAGCAGAACGCTCCCAGCAGCATCCACAGCTTCTCCTGCACTCGTCTTCACATTTTATCCACGGAGTGTTGCACATTTTTAAAAATATTATAAGAAATATAATGAACATCAGATAGTAGTGTTTACTAGTAGCCCCGAGTGGATCAGCGGTCGTCATGTTTTAGTAGATTTCATTTTGAATTTGTCCAGTTTTATTGTTGACACTTGTTTTATTGTGAAAGATCTCTTTGTTATTGAGAGAATGTTGTGTTGCATTTTATATGTGAACTGCAGATAGAAGCATTAGTGGCAGATGATGATGTAGTAAAAGCTGTTATAGTAGCAGTAGTAGTTGTAGTTGCATTGGGAACTTAATTTGTAATATATAGGGCTGCAAATTATGATTATTGATTAATCATGAAATTTGTAAAATGTCAGAAAATAGTAAAAAATGTCATTGAGTTACTTATTTCCTCCGACCAACCGTCTGACAGCTCAAGATGTTCGAGTGACACTGACAGAGAAACAGAGGAAAGTCTCAGATTTCAGCCTTTTTGTTCAGTAAATGACCAAAACTCTTAATTTTCTGTTGATTTACTAAAGGATTAATGTAATCTGATCAGGATCTTAACAGGAGTTACATCATCATAGTATGTTAATCACTTGTTATGTTTTTCACACGTCACCGTCTCTCTGCAGTGAAACACTCGAAGTCCTTCGCTGTAGCGAACACCGACGGCGGCAGCATGGAGGATCTGAGGGAGACGGCCCGACGACTGACCTCCGACAGCAGCTTCAGAGAGAGTGTGTACAAGATCATCACTCGCAAGGACGGCACAAACAAAATGGAGGACTGAGAGAGAGAGAGAGAGAGAGCGAGGTGGCGGAGGAGGAAAGGTCCTCAGCTTTACCTCAGTTCACAGTGGATGATGTAGAGATCCTGATCCCAAACCCACCATTAAAGTATTGTAGATGAATGTACACAGACGTCAGTTTGATGGAATCTGCCGCTGCGAAGTTCAACAGACACGGACTGAACCCATCACAACACTAACACACACTCCCTCATGGACTGACCGGTCTGTTCCAGGAACTACAGAACCACAGGAACCCAAGTCTGAAGAACCGATCAGAAACAAGTCACCCTGATGTTCAGCTCCACAGAGACATCAGCTGAGTTTTGAGTTAATTTACTGAAAATACATTTACAGTATTTACTCTGAACAATTTACTAGTTTGAATATTTTGAATTTTAATGGGCTCCAATAATCTGCAGAATGCGCCGGTTTGTTTTTCCTCACATTTACCTCAGTCTTCATGATGAAGGGTGGGGAGCAGCTGATAACAACGCCCAGGTTTAATGAGTTTATACACAAACTAAAGCCGTGACCATCAGGTCCTCTGGTTGAAACAGTCAAAGGTAAATGCCTGAACAGGTTCTGAGTTTGAGTTGCTGTGGTTCTGCAGCTGCTGAACCTGTTCAAGCTACTGAACATTTGAAAAACATCTGCAGTGGTGGAAAGTAACTAAGTACATTTAGTAAGTACTGAACTTCAATATAATATAAGCTGTAGTCACGTGTTACTTCTCAGCTGAAGAACATATGATACCTAATATTATGTCTCTCTGACCACGAGGTTGGGAACCACTGAACTAACTGTAACTTACTAACTGTAAAATGTGTATTAAGTGGCTGAAAATGGCAACAACAGAAAAATGTTTCTTCCAAAAATAAAACTGTACTTTCACTGAAGTAAACTTCTCCCACCACTGAACATTTAGGCCTCACAGGAGCGTAGTAATTAAGAAACACCGTCACACGTAATGAGATCACAGTATACTGTCAACCACGCAGTGATAATTTCACAATCAGTCGACTGTCAAAGATTTCCAGTTTGTTTAGCTGATAGCAAATACAATTCAAACCCATGTTGAAAAATGTTTGTTTTTATTTTTCTGGTTTTGATTGTGTCCTTTTCTTTAACAGAGGGTCGATGAAAACAATGAGCTCACAGATGTGTCTGATATTAACCTTGACCATTTCATTATTGCTACATCTGAAAATCTGTTCTTGACGAAGCAACTCAATGTAATTCACAGAAGCGAGCAAATTATGATCCTGTACAAACGTAACGTAACACCGGAGATGATAGAGAAAAGACGCGTCACAGTCGGGTGAGAAGGAACATATTCTGGACTGAACAACATGCCTTGATGCTAATAAAGCTGTGTTTGAACCTGGTAAATGTCGTTTCATTTATACAGGTAAAAGGCTGAAGGTTCACATCTGGGTTAGCTTTTCTCAGTTCCCGCTCTCAGCAGCACAATAGATGGCACCGTGAATACAAAAACTGTGATATGGATGCATGTCCATCAGAGGAGAGACTTGTTTGTTGTACACTTACAAAGCTCAGTGTGGGCAGGAAGAAGGGGTTCAGCTGGGGAGGATTGTAGGTTTCATCACCAGGACCTGCAGCACAGAACACAAGAAGGTGATGGATGAAGGGTTCAACAGCACAAATACAGATTATTTACTTCAATAAAACAGATATTTCTGCTCCTCACTTCAAGGATTCGGTTTGTTTTTTTGTCACATGCACAAGAGACACAGGAAACACTTTATTCAACCTCCTGATTTAGCATTTATAAGTATTTTAAAAGCCCTTAATAAATGGATTATAAAACAATATAAAGAGATGGTTTGTGTTCATTCATGTCATTGGTTCATGTTTTTAATTATAAATCATATTTGATCCCAGCTGTGTAAAGGCTTCCACATGTGAAATGGTTTTTCTACATATTACATGATTAACATGTTTCATTAGAGGAATTATAGATGTCGATCTGTTCACAGCTCCATCGCAGTGTGTGATAAACCATCTATTAAGGGTCTATTAACTACTGAGAAATGCTAAATGGGAGATTAAAGTCTGATCTGAAAAAGTCTGATGAGCATTTCTACATGTATTTAAATACATGACAACTTATGAACACACTCTCATTGTTTCACTTTTAGTATATCATCAAATATCATCTACTGTACAAGGATTTGGGGGAATCTGTATTTTGGATTATTATTATTGTCATTATTTGAATTATTACATAATATGTTTGAAATTGATAAATTAAAGTTTATATATGTTACTTTTAAATGCCAATATTACTAGTGTCAAAAGCTCTTGAGCTTTACTGCAAAATCTATTTAATATAAACTTAAATTACATTTCACATTAAGTAATAAAGCTTGAGCCACAGTGTTTTTACTGACCTGAGAGAAGAATATATTTCTGACACTAGACTATCTAACGATCTGGTTTGATAGATAGTTCTCAGATAATCAACAGACAGTTCAGAGCTTTCAGGGGAGCCGTGAAGCTCATACCTGAGTTTCCCATATTAGAAGTGCTGAGTCACTCCCCTCCACCTGTCTGCGATGACCCCAGCTCTGACACACGGAAGAACTCATTTCATATAATTTAGGATTTAGATTTCAGTAGCTGACGAGTCTCTGCAACATCAGGGAGTTAAAATCGTATTTTCTGTCATAAATTGATTGAATTAAAACAAATAGATCCTCTCTGATCTACTACTAGTTAACTCTGAGCCTTTCATTGTTACTTCATGTTAATGTTAATGACCTTTTTCTAGATTGGCGACTTCATCTTTGCAGTTAGCATCATAAGCACCCACAAATCTGCCGTCTCATCCGCTAACCTCACATCACCTCCCCCGCGATTATCTGCCCGGAACAGCGCGGCTCAGTCAGTGACATAAGCCCGTCAGTCCTCTGCTGCTTTAATGCTGCATTTCAAACTCATTCTGGCTTTTTCTCTCAGTGGTTACGCAGGTATCGGACACGTGACTGTCTGAAACGCTCGTTCCAGTCCACTTCCTGGCCACAGATGTGCGACGGGGACTGTGGTTGAAGGGCTGGAGTCATGTCTCTGCCCAACACAGATGCAAATGTGACAAACCTCCACAGAAACAGCCAGAACGAGCCACCACAGAGCCAGCTCCCCACAGGAGGCCCCCTCATATTCCCACGCAGTCTCTCTCTGCTCAGTCATTCACCTCCTGCCGCTCTATCCTGATTTCTATCGCTATGGCAACAGCTACATCAGACAGCAAAAACTGTGTATCACCCCTTTCTTTCTTTCTTTTTTTTTTTTTAATCTGAGAGATTGTAGGATTAGTGCGGCCAGAGGCCTTTAGAGCCTGTTGTTGGCTTGCATGTCGGCTCATGAGTAGATGCTTTTTTTTTTTTCCTGTCAAGTTGAGGCCAGAGTTTCCGAGGATTGTTGTGTTTTTTGTTTAATTGCAAGTGTTGAAAGGCAACAGCACGAACCCAAAACTGAACCGTTGCATAACGTGTAAAAGCAACAAAAAAAAACCAACTACTCGTACCTGTTGACCTTGGCAGGGTCCCCAGGCTGCTGTGCTGGTAGCAGATTTGACTGCGGGGGGGGGGGAGTCAAGAGGCGTCTGTCTCTCAGAGCACTTCACTGTTTATTGTAATGTGACATGAGGAGGACAGACAGATGGAGGGAGTCTTTGAAGAAGATGAGCGGGAGGAAGGATGGCTCTGCTGCAGAGGCCGCCGTCCTCTGATGCTTCGTCAGCACGGGGCCCGTGCACACGGCGCTCCTGTGCTGCACTGACAGCAGTTAGGTTCAGACGAGTGTCCGGCCCGGGGCTTTATTTCCATGCTTTATTTAGCCGTGTTGCAGTGTGTCTACAAAAGGATCCCTCGGTTGCTCTGGGGTTGGAGAACCATTTGCATTCTGCTTTTGATTCCTTCTTACGCTTAATTTTCCCTTAAAAGCCTCTGCAGTTGTCATGGAGTTGTGCTTCCTGGTAAACAATGACTCTTTTCATTCCAGCACAGCTTTCAGTCCAGTAGCTGAGACAGACGGAGCAGAGGGCGAAGAGGAAGAGAGCGGAGGGGTTGTGTTACTCTCTCTACACTCATCTAATATAAAGTCTACTGGAGTCCCACACAGGCTTTACTGTTAATGTGTAACAGCTGATGATATAGTTTGTAGTCTCATTACATCCGTGATACAAAATGATTTGGTTTGCTTTGATGGAACAAAAATGTGATCAAACAAGCAGATGGGTAAAGATACATAAGGACAAAACAACACTGTGTATGAGAAGAAGGGTAAAGCTTTGAGTGACGAGGGTCATAACGAAGGCAGGAGCCGAGCACATGACCAGAAGGAGGGAGCTGACAGCAAAGCTGAGGGTTTACTTCTCATCCAGACTGGCTTTCAGCTGTGCTTCCAGGGCCATTTTATCAAAAGTGCGCATGTTGGTCTCCTCCCGCACTTTGTCTCGCACATGAAAAGAAGCTCGAGCCACGGAGCGAGCGCTCTCCAGCACCGCCCTCTTCTCTCTGAAGATCTGCTCGCTCTTCTCCAGCTTCCTCTCGATGGACTGGAGCAGCTCCAGGCGCCGCTGCTTCTCCTCCTCCTCCACACGCTGCCGGTTGAGTTTCTGGAGCCGTTCCTTCTCCTGCCGGCTCTGGACGGCCCGCTGAGCTTTCTCTTTGGCCTTCTCCTCGGCCACTAGCGCTGCCTGTTGGGCTCGTTTCTCGGCCTCCTTCACACGAGCCTCCAGCAGCTGCTGCTGCTGCTTCTCACGCTTCTCTGCCGCCTTGCGTGCTTTCTGGATCTGCTTCTCCTCACGTTTGGCCTTTTCTTTCAGCTCCTGCCCTCGACGCTCAACTATCTGTTCGTAATTCTCCAGGGAGCGACTGAGCTTCTCCTCCGCCGCCCTCCTGGCCTCCTCCCTCTCCTCCTTCTCTCTGCGAGCTATTTCCTGTATCAGGGCAGCGTGACGTCTCTTCTCAGCTTTGTTCAGACCCAGTCTCTCCTCTTGGGCCTGGTGCTCCTTCTCTTGTCTCTTCAGCTCAGCCATGGTGAGCTTCTCTCTGAGCAGCAGCCTCTCCTGCTCCAGCATGGCCGCCCTCTCCTCCTCCAGAGCCTTCAGGTTCTGTTCCTGAAGCGCTTTCTTATGCTTCTCCTCTCGTGCCGCCTGCTGTAACCTCAGCAGGCGGCTGCGCTCCTGCTGCTCCGCGAGCTCTCTCCATCGCTCCTCGTTCTCCTCAGCTTGTCGCATTTTGGCAGCTGCTGATTCTCGCTCCTGCTGGCTCAGTCGTCGCTGACGTATTGACACTTGTGTCTGCCACACTCGCTGACACTGAAGCACTGCTCGCTGCTTCTCTCTGTCCTCCTGCTCTCGCCGTAGCTCCTCCATTCTGCGCTCGCTGTCCCACTGAAGATGAGCCACATAGCGAGTCTGACTCATGATGTCTTCCTCCTGATATCGAGCGAGCATCAACGCCGCGATCTTGCGGTCTCGCTCGGACACGGCCTTCAGGCCTCTGCGTTTCACCTCCTTCACAATGCGCTCCACCTTCTGTGTCGTCTGAGGAGAGTGGCTCAGGTCACCGAGGCTGAGGCTGCGGCCCATCAGGGAGTTGAAAGTCGCCATGGTGCGAGCTCGGGGGCTGGAGAATTTCGCCCAGTGATCTCGTGCACCGTCCCAACTGTAAGAGGAGGAAGCACCTGACTCTGATGAGGTGCATGTGGTGGTAGTGGTGGTGGTGGAGGTGGAGGAGCAGACGGGATCCATCCTTCGCTGTAGGGACTCCAGCGAATGGCTTCTTCCTTTCACCTTGGACTGAAGTCCAAGATGTCCGTTGTGCTGAGTGAACGGTCCTCCTGTCACACCGTTCAGAGGCGTCCCGGCGCTCTGCGCTGCGGGCTTGGACACCGATGATGTCAACGTGGTATTGGCTCTGGGGAAGGCGGGCGGTTTTGGCGTTGACCTGGGGAAAGTGTTTGAAGATTTACCTCCAGAGGACTTCCTGACCACTGGCGGAGGGCCGGACGAGAGCGGCCGTGTGGCTTTCACATGTTCAGTTGATGAGGTCAAAGGATGCTTGGCAGGTCCCTGGAAACCAGCCTTGGAAGGTGGTGTAGAGGTTGTAGAACCAGTTTTTGATGACTGAGGAGATCCTGCAGATTTAGGGGAGGTACTGAGACCGGAGGCAGGGGCTTTAGATACGAGAGCTGTACCAGTTTTAGAGGTTGGAGCTGATGCTGTGGCTCTAGAGGACGCTCCAACATCCGGGGCTGAGCTGGAGGTCACTGGCACAGCTGCAGGAGGCTGACTGGAGCCAGAAGGGGCTTTGTCCACAGAGGAGGATGACACACTGCTACTGCTATTGACTGTCGCCTGCATAATCCGTCTTTTCTCCTCCCTAACAATCCTCTCCCTCTCCTCCCTGCACTGCCTCAGCTTGGCGTGTCTGTCCCTCTCGTACACTTCATACAGTCCTGTAGCGACACGCATGGAGCGTCCAGGAGCCTCGCGGGCGAAGTCAGTGAGCGGGCGGGGCAGCAGCTCCACAGGTTTGACCCCACATCGAGCGCACGCCTCCAAAGAGCGGGGGCTTGTTAGCACATAGCGACTGCCCTCTGCGGCTGGTGAGTCAAAGTTGAACAGGTCCAGGTGCAGCCTGGGAGGTGGATCCGTCTGAGTCTGTGGTTGCTGAGGCGCTGCCCCCTGAGAGGCAGCGTCTGGCCCCACCGGGGACGCGGAGTGGCAGGGACTCGGCTCAGAACTGCCGGTGGGTGGTGTTTCGAAACCGGCATCTCCATCCTCCTCTGTCGTCGTGCCATCGGCTTCTTGTGGCAGTCGAGGGTCTTCAGTGGCCACAGCCGGAGCTTCGAGCTGCGGACCTTTACACTTATTCTGCTCCTCAGGCTCCGAGGGGTCAACCATCGTTGGCTAATACTGCAGGTAGAGAGAGGGTGGAGGGGTGGGGGCGGGGGTGCGGTTGGGTGGGGGGGTTGTATGATACATGAAGGGAAGTGGATAAAATAGTGGAAAAGGTTTCAATTAGAGGATTATAACATTCAGTCCAGAGCTTAAGAGGGATGCAGTCTGTGGGGGAGGGTCATAATGCAGGTTTAGAGCTGCATGCATGCATGAACACATATTCATCACTCACTGATTTTTACAACAGATGATACATTTTCCCTTCAGGGAAGTGACATAACAGACGAATAAACACCACAGTCCGTTAATAGAGAATCTATTTTTGGCAGAGTTACTGGGCTGAGAGAATCTGATCACTCTATTTTTCACTCTACATCACACAATCAACCTACAACTCCTCCCAGGCCTGCTACATGTGTTATTCACCTGCTGATAGTAGAAGCTTCATCTGCAAAACTTGACTGAGACGCTGCTCTGTGGTAAACAGGCCCTGGGCAGATCCATTATGCTCTGCTCACCAACATGGACTCACACCTCACAAACAGAGAAGGCCTAGACTTTTCTACAGTGTATCAGCAGAAAAAAAAAAACAGATGCACTCTCATTAAAAATGACTCAGTCCGACAGATTCCATCAGGTTCTGGTAAATGTGCGGCTGCTGCTGCTGCTACAAAGACGTGATTTACTGCCGTTTGATCCCGGGGTTGGGTTGTATTTGACGCGGCGTCGCACCACACAAACATCCACTCACCTGCCAGTGTGCAAAACGTTTTCTGAACCGGTGCTTTGTTCCCCTGTGATCCGTCCACCCCCCCTTGTTCCCTGCATAATATCAGGTTTCAGGGAAAAAGGCTTCGGCCGTCGACCCTGCGATGGAGCATCACATCGTCGCAACCTCCGGCGACACGACAGACACAGACGGAGCCTCTCGCAGCCTCTCGGTCAGATGTGTGCCTCCCCCCCCCCTCCACCTTCCTCCTCTCACCGATTAAAAACACATACAGAACCGTCCTCTGTGTGAAATCTACTCTTTCAAAAGTCTCTTATCCGGCCTCCTCCGTTACTCCTTCGGCAAAGCGCATCCCGTAAACATCCGCGGTCTCCACCTGCTATTCAGCTGCATCCCTCCGTCTCAGCCTCCTTAGCTCCGCCTGCTTGTGGCAAATACGGTACAAAAAATTATACGGTGTGTACGCTGCAATTAACCGAGCGCCTATCCACTCCACTCACATGCTCTCCACATACACCACCACCCCGGCCTGATGGAGGGGAAGCTGTTTGCCTGGAGCAAGTTCCTCTTACAGGCCTATTTTCCTTTCAGAGACATTTAACTGCCTTTAAAAGTAACAGCGTGTTCGCGATCATTTTAATCCGTTTAATAAATTATTTAACACTTTATTATTATTATTTGTTTTGTATGTGAGGTGATCCACACATCTGTCAAACGTCACACACATTGAATAGAAAGAGGAGAGCTTTAAACATGTTTCAGTGTTTGCAGTCAGGCCCATGAAGAGTCACATCACAGTGTGTAACAGCTGCCATCTGCTGTGACAGCCGACAGACTGTAGCGGCTGCAAACAGCCACTAGAGGTCACTATTACACCATACATCTACAAACCATCAGCTACAGAGAGGGAGATACAGTTTTATACATTTCTACATTTATTCAATATTTCTATTGAATGTTTCCTGTTTTCTTAAACGACTAAGTCGAGCTTCAGTGGTTTCTAAAACATCATACAAGAGTTTCCACAGGGATGATACAGACCCAGAATAGGAATAAACTGGAAGAGAAGAGGAGTAATTTAACAAACATGAACAGGGACATGTGCTGTCTCACAACTATATACTTCATTGATCCCTGTGCAGATTTGATCTGAGGTGAAAGGTCGGGTCAGACAGAACAGCAGCAATAATCCAACACACTTCTCCCATCAGTCTAATCCTGCAATCTTATATGCAAACTTTAAAGTTTACTACTGTTACTATTACTACCTATATTACTATTGTATCTTTACTACAACAACTATTACTAGCACTGCCACTAATATGGCCTCTACAACAACAACTACTGCTGCTGCTGCATCTATTACATGTTAGTAGCAGCAAGTACAGTTATTGTTAGAATCAGTTTCTACTGTTACTGCCAGAGGTTTCAACAGCAGACGTTTCCTCTTCTTTGACTACACACCACCACATGGATAAATGTAGTGTAATTATTGAAAGCCACTTTAAGAAGACAGACAGGGGCCGGTTTCACAAAGACAGACCTTGACTCTTAGACAGACCAAACAGTCGGACCTCAGATAGACTCAGATAGAGTCTAAATTCATCTGTTGCAAGAAGCAGTTTAGTTCTTGACTATCTTAAGTTGGACTGTGATACAGTGAACCGCTCAGCTGTTTACCCCCCCCGCACATTTTACCTGGGAGATTCAGCGAAAAGTGAAACAATACAAAGAAAAATTTACTGTAATTTTGAAAAAAAAATGGCTGCCGTCTCTACAAACTCTTTCCCTTCTCTTTGCTCTCTCACTGTCAGCAAACCCCAAATTATGAGCCATGTTTTCCTGTCTCTTCTTGTTGGGTGCTACTGCTCAGCACAGGTGTCATTGGTTGTTACCATGGTAACATTGGTTTTAGGCCTGACTTAGCCTCGGGGTAAAGTGTCTAATGTTTTACTCTTAAAATGAGTCAGTCTTTATGTCTGTGAAACGGTGCGACTGACATCAGACTGATCTCTGAGCAACATGAGGACTGGACCGACACCACACACCAGGCCGACACGTCTGTGTGAAACCGGCTCCTGGTCTGGTTTGGTCCAGTCAGAGCGGTTGAATCAGGATTAGATAACTCTGGGTGAAAATCGCAGCGATGATGACCCACTAAACTCCTGACCCGGTGTGGGGAACAGTGCGAGTTTAATTGGCCCCGCCCGTGAGCCGTATCAGGAGGACAGTGGGTAACAAGTGACAACAGGGAACGTGCTGGCTGGCTTGTTAACCAGGGGCATGGGGTCTGGGGAGGGGGGGTGGGGGGGGCATGGTGTGGTTGCTGCACAGTTCACTGGTGCGGGGGTATGCTCGACAGAATTTTGGTGTTTTTGTTTTTGTTTTTGGTAGGGCATGCTCCCCACCACTAAAACTGGACTCGGGGTTCATCGAGAGGTGAGCGGCTCGGCGCAGTCATGGAGACCACTGCAACACCCGGCTGGTGGCGAGGGCCCGGAGCATTCCCCTCTTCTGCTGGTTTTGTACTGGGAACCAGTCTAGAGGTGCCAAATCCTGATTCTGAAGATGAACAATCGAAATGAGATGAATTTAAAAGTATCTGTGAAAACATGAAGACGCTGAGGACAAAGACTAGACCCTGAAATCCACCGGTCTGATTCCTCCCAGATCTCCTCAACCTCAGTTTATTCTTTGTCTTTTCTATGTAGAAAGAGTGAGGCATTAGTTTATTATATTATATTACTTATAGTTTTTATAGATGTTATGAAATACACTATATATGGTCATGACATTGACAACACTTGAGTAAATAAAGTAAAAACATGATTTCTCCTCTGTTGTTTTCTCTTTTTTCCTTTGTGTTTGACTGAATGTACAGAACCTGCAGATGGCTGGTAGGGACAGATATTTTCTGCTCTTATGTTTTTGTTAAGTTTTGTTTGTCACTGAAAAACTGAAGGTAAATATATTGATAAAACATGTATCAGTCACCGGTGTTTTCCTCTTTAGCTCTTCGCACTGTCTCACGTCTGTGTCTTCGACAGCTTCACTTGGTGGTTTGCCATTTTGGAAACTATGCATATAAATATATTTTAACATAGTACTTACTGTAAAACACGGTCAGGAAACGTTAAAATAAACTGTCTCTGTCTCTCTCTATGATAATACAGACGTGTCCATCATCATTAAAAGTCATAACTCTTTCATGCATGATAACGGACTGGCACGATATTTAAAAAATAATCATTCATCATGTCCTCGGAGAACAAACTGATCTCCTACTTTGGAAAATCTGTTAGAGGACTGAGAGATCCACAAGCAAGTGATTGATTAAGAAATCTGTGGTTAGAATAACAAAGTTGGGGCAGTATCAGAGCGGTCTGGAAGATCTATGTGCCGTTCACTCCACTTTAGAAAGCCAGTTTTTACACAGAGGCAACGGATGAATCCAGAAGAGATTATAGAGAGAGAGAGAGAGAAAAACCACTTTTGGCTGAGTGACCCTGACAGTCAGCAGCCTCAGCTGAGATGAATTCACCCATTTCATTTCTCTTTAAGAGGCAGATCTGATTTTCAGCTCTGCATGTGTGCTGAGCTTTGACAAGCACGGATAACGGCATGGCAAACAGAGCTGGAAATAAAGAGGATACAGTCGGTCTCAGTGCATTTCCACCTCTTCAGAGGGCTTCTGATTTTCCACATTATTATATTTTACTACTATTGTAAGTGGATCGTGCCAAGAGGACACTGTAGGGGTGTTTGCTGAGAGTGGAACATTTTTACTGAGTGTATAATGTGGTTCAGACAAGCTCAGTGAACCAAACATGATGATATCCCTGGTATTTTTCTATGACTTCTACAGTCTTATTATCATTTTTTACTATTTCTAATATCCAAAGACAGAAAAATACAAATGATTAAACATATTAATAAAATTATAAATATATAAATATTAGATATTGGTCCTTCACTTCTAATATGATGTAAATTTTCACCAGACCATGGAGACAGAACAGCAGGATCTATAACTTCTTTATAAAATATGATTGAGCTTTTACTGTTTTCTCTTTAAATTACTAAATTGATTAAGGACATATTTGTGAGTAATTCTTGGATTGTATTGATGATGACAGTTAACAGCGTAGTAAAAAAACAAATGATATTTATTTTGTCAGTGTTTTCTCTGAGGTTTTCTTGTGTATTTCTGGATGATGTCACCTTTGAAAATGATTCATGTAACACAAAGAAAGTTGCTCTTTGGTTAAATGGG